GAAACAAACTTAACCTTTAAACTTTACCTACCTTACGGGTAAAGGAATACTAATAGTTAATTAACTATATACAAACAGTTATAGTAATACTCTATCTCTCTATGTGTGTGTGTATATATATATATATATATATATATATATTATATAAAAAAGTTTTGGTTTACTTTCAAACAGTAAAATAAAGTGACTGGAAAAAAAAAAGAGTACGGTTCATACTATTAGAATTATAAATAAATTTGAGTTAAAAAATACATAAATGTTTACATAGAAGTTAATTTTCTTTTACATATTTAGTATTCATATGTATGAAAATTTTACATTCTGTAAACTGGTGAGTGAACAGATGCTATCAAATCAGTCTTTTACTATTTCTATTGAATATTCAATAATTCATTAAAAAAATATGGTTCCATTTTTCTACAACCCAAAATGTCTACCTTATTTTCATTTCCAATTTCAGAAATGGAATTAAGGATTGATTATTATTACTTTATTACAAAAGTTTCCTGATAATGTTGAATGAAATACAGAAATAAATTACTCCAATTACACTCGAGAGTCAAACTATAATGTTTTTTTCAAACCCACTCATAAACAACTTTTCAAATATAATCAAACAAAATTACTTACTCTCCTGAATAACTTTTTTGTTTCATAAATTATATTACTTACTTATTACGTTTGTTTGTTTCCTTAACTATCTAAATATATCTGAGGGATATTGGAGTTAAAGTTTCAGTATTCCAACTTTTTTCTAGTTACATATTCATGTTTTTAAAACAAACATACAAACTAGTGTTGGTTATCGTAGCAAACTTTTATTGCACAAACAAACAATACAGTATTTTACGATTTTACAAGTTGTTTCAAGATGTAAAATCGGATACATTTATAATATTAACAACTTGATTTTTATAATAAAGATATCTGCTGTCTAAAAACTTCTATTTTTATCAGTATGCTTAATATTTCACCTAAATAATATAAATCTGAATTGATTAATTGCAGTAACATTGCTTCATATCCTACCTCAAGGAGAGTGTGGCATTTTCAAAGATCACCTACTGACAGTCAGTTAAACTTGGAATGCTTTTATTCATAATAATTATCTATACACGTATATCACATGAGTATTCAAATTTATACTAAAAATCGTAATCAGTAATTTACTATATTAACTGGAATTTTTGTTGACATTTCACATATTGTCACAAAGCAAACATCTCACCTGCAACTTACCAGTTTTATATCCAGTGTATCTAAAGTTACAATGAGCACTTGAAAAACTCTCTATTACTAGCTCTTAAATCACTAGCCAAAATCAAGTTAAAACCAAGAGTGTGGCAGATATGAATTGAGAATTGGCCCGACCTCAAGTTACAATGAGCACTTGAAAAACTCTCTATTACAAGCTCTTAAATCACTAGCCAAAATCAAGTTAAAACCAAGAGTGTGGCAGATATGAATTGAGAATTGGCCCGACTCTGATATAGTGATTTTACTATACTACAATGAAATAAGAGAGAAAAAATATCTTTTACCTTAACAAGCATGATGGAATTTGGAATGATTTAACATGACAAATATAACATACATTTCACTTGACTGAAAGAAGGTTTAAAAGTAAAATATGTGTAGTTGACAGATAACTAGCTATGTTTGTAGTTCTTTTATTTCTTAAGAACAAAAAATATATGTGTGTGAACTTACGGATGAGCGAGCAAATCAGATATTGATGGAAGTCCTTTTTTTTTACATGCTTCTGTGGAGATGGTAGCTTCCAGGATCGATCCTAACATCAAGAGGATTTAAAATAATAGGATGAAAGTTAGAATAACTGGAAGGACGATTCTTAGTATTGAGTGCAATATAACTCGGAATAAAAACATTATTTAAAATGAATTAAATGTCACCTTGTATGAAAAAGAACAAAGACTTGAATTGGGATTTTACATGTTTAAGCCTTTCTTCAAAAGAAGCCACAGCAATTCTGATTTGAGTCTTACAATATGTTAGAACTTTTTTAAAGAAAACCATGAATGGTTAACACTCAACAGGTTTCCCTTACTGACAATCAACAGAACCAGGTGTGTATTTTTTATAGGATGATTTGATTTTTATGTTACTGACCTCTCTCAAAATACTACAGAGAATGAGTGGTGATGTCAAACAACACATTTCCAAGTATGCCTATTAATATGTAGAAAACAGTACACAGGAAGGAACTTAATCACACAACCTCACTTAACAATAAAAACCATCCTACAGGCAGGAGGAGTTCATTAAAGCCAAAACTCTACTTTCTTTACATTTTACTATAAGCTATAGGAAAGTAGACTACAGATATCCGACTAGCAATGTACAACTGATCTACACAAGTGCTCAACTCCCGATTATTCTTGCACATCATCTTGAATACTTTTAGTTGTAACTGATATGATGAAAACTTACAATGTACAATGTACAACTGATCTACACAAATGCTTAACTCCCGATTATTCTTGTACATCATCTTGAATACTTTTAGTTGTAACTGATATGATGAAAACTGGTCTAGAAGTTGATGAAATCATTGATAATAAAATACTATTGTTCTTCATTTATAATGGTCATAACTAGAACTGTTCATGATTTTTTCCACATGAGCACATTACTCCTATACATGAAACTTGTGTACATGTATATATCTTTATATATATATATATATAAAAGAGAAAGTTTATTTATTTGTTTATTTTGTTCGCTATAGGAAATCAAACAGTTGCACTTACAAATTTTAAAATTACTTCATAATAACCAGTTTTTTTACAAGAAATGTATTGGTGCCATTTATTTTGTATTTGGTGTAGTATTTAATAACGAAATTGACAATTAATGATTATTGCGGCATTTTTTGTAATAAACATACAATATATGCACAACAGAAATTAAATGATGAGATGAAAATGTGTTATAATGGCACGTAGAAAGAACAACAATAAAATGGACCTACAATATTATTGACTATTTGCAAATATTAACTATGGAGACGAGGTAATAAAATAAAAATAAAGTCGAGAACAACAACAAAATTTTATAAACGAAAACCTCTTGCTGAGCATTGGCTATAAAATTATTTCCCTGTCAATGTTCCCATCTTCACTAAAAGGTGTAAGATGATAAAAACAAGTTCTTAGAAGAAAAATAAACAAATAAATAAACTTCCTCTTATATATATAAAGATTTCCCTGTCAATGTTCCCATCTTCATTAAAAGGCGTAAGATGACAAAAACAAGATCTTAAAGAATCTATCTATATACTGCTAAATCTCTGAAATTGTTTGTTTGTCTGCTTATTTTCTCAGTCAAGCAATCATTCACGCTACCGTTCGCGCTCTTTACGAAACTTCTTACTTCACTTTTTTTGAAAAATGAAATGGTCTTACCTTTTGCTCCCGATCAACAGTCAAATAGCTTTCCTTGAATTATGAATAACACGAATGGATTGAAATAT